TACGTTAGTTCGTCTTCAAGTTATTAAGGTAACAATATTTGTTTCCTTATCAATGCTTGCCGTTTGACATGTCCTACTTCGAGCACACGAACTAACATATTATGTAATTACTATACTTACGCATAATATGAACGTGTCTATATACTGAAAATAAATTGGTATTAAACGTAGCGTCCATTTTTGCCTTTGTAGTTAACACGCACTACACCTCCGTATTCCGATATCGATATCTGATTTTGTGTTGATGGTACTTTCCCCGACAAAGAATACCGCCTTTTTGCTAAAAAGCATATCACGGACATCCTCTCACGAATATTGCCATAGTTACCATAAAGGTAATATCAAAGGCCATAGAAACACCTTTCATCAATATTTGTTTACAGTTCGTGAATCCTACAGTGGCTTTTAGTGAATATTGCTCTAGTTCTTGTCCCATTTTGAAAGGTACCACCAAAAGATGAAAGTAGATTTTAAGTTAAATTAGCAATTTTGATATAGGTTGCGTAAAGTTGACAAAAAGTAATGCTTCATTTCGACATTGTTTTTGTTTTATACAGTTTGTTTTCATGTTCATATCATTGCCGAATTAACTTTATAATAATTATATTGCTCAAGAAATATTTAAATACACTCATACAAAACGCTGTTGTATGTTGATTATAGAAATAATGTTCGGGTTTGTCTAAAGTCAAAAGGTGACGCACCAATTAAGGCTATTAATTTGCCTTAGTTTATTTTTTTTAAAGTCTTTGATATGGTTTTGACAAAGATGATGATGATGATGATGATGAAAATGACGATGATGATAATAATGATAATGATGATAGAAATAGTTATAATAATGATATAATGAATTAGTATTGATACTGCTCTTTCTGTATTCCCTCTAAGTGTTATTACCCCAGATTTTTTTTCTTGCCAGGTACTCATTTAGACAACTGGGACGAGAGGGACATTTAATGTGGGCAAAACACCTTTCCCCAGGATTTTATTTTATTTCATTTATTTATTTCCACTCCAAAATATAAACAATATTATATTATTTCAATATATAAACATACATAATTATGGTGAGCTATCTGAAGTGGGGCGATCATGAAAAGTACATAATGGCTTTTAAAGCACCGAGAAAGGATCGAACCCGAAACCTCTCGTATGAGAGTGAAGGGCCGTAATTTTTTTCTCTTATCCTCAAGCGAGGTTTTTATTTTCATAATAGCAATACATATTTACATTAATAACTCAATGAATGAGTGAAATATAACATAGGCTAAAAATTAAAGTATATTCAGCAATTCTTCCAGCTTAGTATCGTTTTCTTTGCTAACACATTCATATCTTAAAAAATAATCTTAGCAACGACTTGAATTCCAAAAACAAAGTATGTGGGTAATAAGCAGAACCCTTAACAATCTTCTTAACGTAACATTTATAAATTGCACATTGTTCATGATTTTAAATAATATTCAGGAGAGAATATTTCTTGTTTCCAATGCCCTTACCTACAACTAATATGCTTTGGTCTATTTGTATTTTTTTTGGAATAGGTTAAATATCAGGTAACATATTATTTTCCAAAACAAAGTCATATTCTTGCAATATAACATAAAGTGAAAAGTTGAGTCTACTTGTCCACAAGAGTTGCATAAAATTGAAGGGCCTTAATATACGCTCTCGTGGTACACTTATAATGAGAATAACAGTAACAGTAACAAATCTTATATCTTATCTATTTAACTACAATTGATTACAGAGCATTAGAAAGTAAAAAAAAATCGGCAAAAACTTTCATGATAAATGATACGGCCCTCATAATCGCCACGTCTTACTTATGTATGAGGTCTTTGGTCGATTAGTTTTTGTCTTATTGATGTCTCTTTCACATGAAGTATATTAAGTGGCCTTAAGTGGAATATTAATAAAGCAGTGCGGCAAAGGAATACGGGTGACCAAGATGAAAGGCCTGTCAAATTTCGTGATTTATTGTGACGTAATCTGGATCATGGCCCAATTCTCATGATTTGGTCATGAGATGCTCATGCATGGTTTATTATACTCGAGTTTGTGAGAAGGTAGGGAGGGCACGCGTGATTGAAAATTGAGAACACGAGCGAATTTGACATTTTGGTCAAAATGATTCGCACTTACCCCCCCCCCCTCCCCCTCCCCACCCTCCCTCCCAAGGAAAAGACGTATTTCACTTCATTTGTATATGTCACAAACGGTACAGGAAGGTTATGATATTTTGTGGACGTGTGTGTGTAGGTGTGATAACATGTCGATGTTGGAAAATGGTGAACTTATTATGTTCAATCTTGCTAAATTTTATAGAAAATTTGTGTGGATGTATGAGGTCACGACAGCGCAAAATTTGAATTATTTTGTTTTCCCATTCAGAAATTAAGATTATGTTAGATTTTTTAAAAATTTATAATTTTAAGCATGATACGTAAACAAATCTAAAGAAAATGATTAGTTTGAATTTAGAACATTGAATATTCTCTTCATTATTGCTATTTTTTAAATTCATCTTAATCTTTTAAAACTTTTATTAATCAAATAATTCGTACCTATATCATGATAACAATAATCATAAAATCACTGCAAATGATATTATTATTGTTATTATCATAGTTATTATTACTAATATCACATTTCTCAGTTTGTTTTCTTTTTATTCCTGTTTCTTACTAATATTTTCTCCACTTTCGGACGACCATGAACTTCTGAAACTCCATCTCCCCTTCACATCGACGCATCATCCTACCAAGAGTACTTGCGTTCATCCATCTCCCGCTCTCACCTCCTCGGCTCTGGCTGTCTACATAATTGAGCATCGGGGAATCGGCAGGCGAGCTCTTTCAACTGGCATTTGTAATTTATAGAAAAGAGAGGGATGCAGTAAGAGGGCGAGGAAGCACGAAGTAGGTCTATTGAGAGAGAGAGAGAGAGAAAGAGAGAGAGAGAGAGAGAGAAAGAGGGAGATGGGGATTGGTCGGGATGGAGCTATAAATTTAGGACGGGTTTGGACTGGCAGTGACATTCGGTAGCAAACCTGATAGCATTGAACATCCCAGCTGGGTTTCTGGAGCCCGATATCATTTTAAACTCTGTGTTCGACACACGTCGAGTGTTTCTGATTGCAAACGATTGAGTAAGTATCTATCAGATACACCTGTCTCCGTGGAATACCCGGGCGGTGATGTTATTGTAAGTTTTATAGGAGGATCATAAACGTCATTCTACAAATGACATCTAAAGATTCAGCTATAGCTAATCGATGCGTCTTTGAATTTTAGTGATCATTAAACAACCTTGACGGCATCCGTTTTTTAAAGACTCGGAGAAGAAAGAAATTCCACCTGCCTGCGAGGAGGTAGAAGGAGAATTTATTTGTAATACACGAATCATGCTAGATTGAGGTCAAAAGCCAATAACATTCGGGAACTTTCGATGGCTCTTAGCAGGACAACAGTGCTACAGATATAATTATGCCAGGAGAAAAGCAAGCTTAATTTGATTTTGTCATGAGGATATGCGATCAAGTCGATTCACGTTTTGTGTCAATTTGGTGGTTTTCGCATCAGCGGTACAGGTACCGTTTCTAACATCTTCCTCTCAACATTAATTATATACAGGTGCTTACAGGTATAGCGATCAGTGCCGAGATCAGTACCCCCTTCACCTATTTTCAGTGACCTTCATCGAGAACACTGCCTATGCTTTTTGTCTCAAAGTGCTACTTCATCCATCTTCCGTCGGCTGAAGATCTCTTGAGCCATAAATGTCAAGACGTTTACTTTCTTATTCCATACTTGAAATTACCATAGGAACAGATCGGACGACAAAGTCTTAAGTGGGACATCCCGGTCGTATGGCAAATAAGGAGATGTTTGCCTTTACCAAGGAGCTCCTTACCTGTATCAGATACGTACTTCTGTGGAAGTAAATTGAATTGAAGATTGTTTGGTGTATGTTAACATGTCTGACGTTGATCAATGCGAATACTCGTTGAATAGAAGTGCGTTTGGTGGAATTGGCGGAGTGATGGAGAAATGTTCGTGACTTATACTTCTTATTTTAAAAAGCTATAAAACTACGGTAAAAATCTCTAAAATATGGAACAAAAGAATGTGCAGTATTATTTTGTTTACGAGATAGGATGTTGATCATTCTATTTCTTAACGAAAGAGAAGGTTACCAGGACATGAAGAAAAGGTCAAATAAACGATTGAACTTTCTATAGCCAATGAAAGCTTTGCACATCTGCTGTGCAACAGATTCGATAATTTCGCCGCCTTTCGCTATACAGGTTGGGAAATAAATAGGAGAGGCACGCAATTTCATTGCTAGGTATTTATGAAAAAGGCCTTGGAGCGACGAATTGGTGCACCTTGTATTCAATGCTCAACGCATCAAATAAAATGAAAAATCAATTTTTAGCAGCACTGATCGCTGGCGTTGTCAATGATAGCTGGACTTCAAATTAATGCAGTCAGTGTACGAGTGCTCGAACTGGAGGTCGGTATAGAATGAGGGGAATCTGTATCAGATTCTACATCCACAGTATCCTTTTCTCGTCTTAAAGCTTTATTGTTCGCGACACAGCGAAATGTCATCACATTTCGACTTGAGCACATCTGCAGCCAAATCATTAACTATTTAATGAACATTTCTTCGAGCACGTTTCATGAGGATTAATACCCAATTATTGACATCCATTTACCAAACCACCATCTATCAAAACAAATTTTCCTCCTCTCATAAACACGGTAGAGCGACTAATAAATTGTTATTAGTCATTATTACCATTATCTCTCTATATTGAGAGCAACAGGATAGCCCCAATGCACTATGACGCTCTTCGTTTATTATCAATATTAGGATCAATTTCTGGAGGATTATTTATCGAGCTGGACCGACAAGTGTCAAGGAAAAGAAACGAGACGGCGCCAATTATTGTCATTAGGTGTGTTGCATCGAATCCGGGAGAAGGGAGATCACATTCTCTGCCGTCATCATGGAGTACAATCACCTAGACTACGACTACGAAGTAGAACTCACGATTACCAATGCCTCTTCTTCTGCATCGGAATCATCGTGGAGTGCATACTCCATTTCGATTATCTATAACGATTGTCCGACGGTGGACGTTGTAAACGCGACGCGCTTACTTGAGACCGAGGCGCCTATTTACAAGTATAGAGACGAAATATATATGGAGTTCTTTTTACCTTTCCTGCTCTGTGTTGGGGTGATTGGAAATCTTTTGTTTATTTACGTAGTGTGTAGCATGTCCACCATGCGTACCGCCACCAACTGGTGCCTGGCCAACTTGGCTGTAGCAGACTTGGTGTTCCTGGTCGTTGGGATCGGCGAGAAGTTGTGGATGTATCATCATTCTCCGTTTATCAATGATCGCCTCACTTTCGGGGAGTTTGGCTGCCCCATCGTCTTCGCTGTCGTCGACACCTCCTATTTCGCGGCGCTTTTTATGGTGACTCTCGTGTCTATGGAGCGATATTACGCGGTATGCCGTACCCAGAGTGCGCGTACCAATACGCGCAAGTCCATGTTTATCGCTCTGGTGGTATTATCGTGGATCATTAGCATCGGGATCGCAGTGTCCTTCGTTCCTGCATCGAATGTCAACTTTACAGGATGCCGTGTCTGGCCGGATGTTGAACCCTTCAAGAACTTACCAATGTACCGGTCAGAATGCACGTCCTCCGTAGGGTTCGAAAGCTTTTCGCTCTACGTGAACATCGCGAGAACTATCCCCTTTTTTCTTCTGATCACTTTCAATCTATGGATGTACGTATGTATCGTCAAAAGCATGACGCGCGCCGTCCGCGAGACGCGCATCGCTGGACGCGAAGACATCAATCTCAAACAACGAAATCAAGTCGCAGGCATGCTCATGGTCAACGGCCTCATCTTCTTCATCTGTCTAGTGCCCTTTGAGATCTTCTGTATTCTGGAAGCCATCAATATGGTCCGACCAGAGAAGACGCCCCTTATTTCGGGGAGCGTAACAGTCCCACTTAGATATGCCTCCCAGGCTATGTCTTACGTTAACAACGTCGTCAATCCTGTGGTGTATATTGGATTGAGCAAGAGATATCGTGATGCCTTTAAGAATGCTATCCTGTGCCGAAGACGGGTGGATTATAACTCCGGGATCAAGACTAGGACTCGGTCGTCAACCACTACTAGTACAGTATTGAGTGTGTATGTAAAGAGACCCGTCAATGTCAAAGGCACTATATAGCTCTATACACACACAGTCAAACCTGTCTATAGCGACCACCCAAGGGAAACACAAAAAGTGTTTTTTTTTTGTAGACAGGTGGTCTTTGAGACAGGTTCATTTAGTACATGTTTCAATGAGAAACCATTTTCAAGGGGAACAAATAATGTGGCCTTTGTAGACAGGTGGTCACTAAAGCAGGTTCGACTGTACAAAATATAATCTCCCCACGCCACTCTGTATTTATCATTATGATATATTCCAAAAGTTTATCTTGCGCTGGAAACAGTAAAATAATCTAGCAGGATTGTTTGACTGTTTCCAGTGCATATTGTTTTGTGCAAACTTGCACGTGTTGCAAACGAGCGAACTTGCATAGAGACAAAGAAAGCAACCGAAGTGATAGCCTCGAAGTCTGCTGTGGATGAATATTTTGATAAAGCATTACCCATCCATTTAAAGGTAAAGACCAGTATTGGAAACGCCCCAATTTCAAAAAATGAAATGGAAGCTCTCATTACCAATCATGTGAAAGAATATGTTTTGACTAATACATGATGATAAAAAATTTGCTGGGAAACCGCCTACTAATTGATATATTTGGTAAATTATTATATCTATTTGACTGTGAGAGATATAGGGTAGTCCCATATACATCTTTCTGTGTATAGTGCTTGTAACTTTACGAAGAATGGGCCAAATTTCTTATCATTTTGATGATTCCAGAACCTTGCAGATGCTAGATGATCAACCTTTTCTGATCGATTCCACAACGTTTCTTTCACAATGCAATCGCATGACCATAACTGGTCTTTACCTTTAAGGAAATATAAAGTTGTGACAACTGCTTAATCCTTCACAGCAAAAAAGAAGTTGTTGAATTGTGAATAAATATATCTTGAAATGCTGAAAAAGAGTATTTTTGAAAGTCTCATGAAATAAAAATCGTTGAGTTTGTTAAAAGAGAATCTTTTTAAGCGCAAACGCTATCGGGGAAATTGCAAAACATTACCCTAAAAATGTAATTATTTTTTTAATAATATTCTGACAAGTTTTTCTTGTAAATCGTTATTTATGAACTCCCTCCGGTCATGAATACTGAAGCAAAATATACAGAATATTTTGAAAATTTTAGTTGCGAATTATAAGTTTGAGTTTGAGCATTTCAGAATCAGACGATAATTGTATTGTTAAATAAATCTTTGACATTTTTAGCTTCGTTCCAAGAGCATGAAGGCAATAGAATGGGAAAGATTTTATAATTCATATTGTGATTATACCTTTGGAAAATAGAATTTATTTCGTGATTACGATATATTGTAAGATTTCTTTGTATTTGTCTATTTAATTATTGAAGTAACCTACACGTACAAACCTAGTCACAAATTACTGGCAATGTCGCAACAATATGATTTTATTGCGATTAGTCAGACCGACTACTAGATAATAAGGACGATGAGGACGCAATGGAACGAGAATAAAATGTTCTGTCTTCTATTTACACTTCTCAGGAAACCATACCTATATGACGCGGACAGGGAAAGTAGCATTTGATTGTAAATAATTATGACTGAAATATTGTTACAGACGCATAGAAAACAAGAACTGAAAATAATAGGCAAATGCTTTAAACCGAGAGTGAATCAATTTAGGAACCGTTGTTTCAAACCTCTAAATTTGTGGGGCGGCTAGAAGTAAGGAGTAATGACAAAAACAAGAAAAGTAAGGTCATTTCTAAGAAGAAAAAATTATTGGTCACTTTTTTCCGGTCCCGTGTGGCTGCCCGTGCTGGTTCAAAAAGCAATCTATATGTAATGATGATACTTCCTTCATTCCAGAAATCTGTCTACTTGATTAATTACTAACACCTGAAATGTACATGAAGTCACAATAATTACGTGTTTTATGTGATCAAGCAGGAAAAACTTATTGTAAGATCTCTGTTGTCATAATCGTTGTGTAAATTATTGTGTATACTGGTTATATATAATATACGTATAGAATGAACTATTAACTGATAATTTTGATTATTCTAGTCCAAATGCAGGAGTAAATTATTACCCACTTTACATTACAAAGTGCACTACAATAAAAACCAAAATAAGTATAATTATATGCTTTCTCTATATGTCAGTGAAATGCAGTAAGTATGTGTATCCAATAAGTGGTGGATTTTTGTTGTTGTAATTAGCCCTATGCATCTGATGTTGTACCAAATAAACAGATTCATTTTACGATTTATTTATCTAGAGTTCTAAAAGTGCACACAACTTCACACCTCAAGAGAACAAGAGTCCATCGAAAAGAAAAAAGGAAATCCACAGGATATAATGAAGTAAACTTAATGAGAATTATACAAAAAATAATGCTCGTTGTCTTATGTATGAGAGAAATGTTTAAATCTTTCTATTATCACTGACATTTTCATGTGATATATTTTAAGCAGGTGATATTGTAGAGAAGATTGTCGTTTGCTTGGGGCCATAAGGACATTAGCCCAATTAGTGTGACACAGAGTAAGTGGTCTTCTGGCCCCAAACAGACAATAAATTATGTTTCATAATGAATTAAACCATGAGATTCGAGAGACGTATAACGTGGATAAAAAGAATAAACGGAATGTTGCATTAAATACCATGCTTTAGTTAAGCCCTTTATTGCACCAGCAGCAGGGTAATAGGTTAAAGAATGAACTCTTCTTCTTTTTCTGTCTCAAATTCGAAATATATGTGGATGGATTGAGAAGAAAAACGGGAGAGAAAGAGGGAGAGAGAAATAGAGAGAGACAGATAGAGAGAGAGAGATAGAGAGAGAGAGAGAGAGAGAGAGAGACAGAGACAGAGACAGAGAGACAGAGGAGAAGAGAGGAGGACCTCTGAAGACTCTGAAAAGATATACAAGATGAAAAAACTCACTGAAAATGTATAAGTGTTAATAATGGCATGTCTTTATTGATCATTTATGAGTCATGATAAACCCTTTATAAAATCTTAAAGAAAAAAAAGTTACGAAGAAACCTTTTTTTGATACTTTGCGTTATTAGACATGAACTGAATGGGGGGAGGGGACACATGTATTTCACACGACTCCAATTAGCCATAGCAAATCAGTTGTATTTCAATTTCAGGCCACCTCTTCAATAACGAAACCCTCCCCAAGGAATACCCTGCCACCTTGACCTTGACCTTGCAATTCATTTGTCTTATTGATCTTTAAGGCTCGTTCAGATTATTATTATCATTTATTTTTCCATATGGAAACGTTTGATTGGATTTGTCTCATAAAAGAAATTGACCACAAAATAACTCCCACACATTCTGTCTGTAAAGACCTTATTTTCCCCCTTTAAGCGTTTCCCATTATTAACAATAAGACCACCTGCTCATAAAGACGGCTTTCCTTAATGTACAGGTTTCACGGTGGAGCGTAAAATCAAACAAGACAGTGAACAACAAGAAGAGATAATGAACGACAATTAAGGTCAAGGCACTCAAGGCAATGGATTATTACTTGAGGAAGGGATTATTATTAAGGACTTTATCTTCAAAATGTTACAAGTTTGTGTGTTTTCTTTATTACATTATTTATTTTCACATTCGTCTCAAATTTACCTCTTAATTTCACTTTTTTACAAATGAAATTAAGTCGTCGATACCTCTTGATATTCGGTGCTAATTCGATTGGACTTTTTCAAAGTTTTCATTCCATCACTGCCTGAGATTAAGAATTTCATTGATTTTGTTCCTAAAGCGTATACATATAAATGAAGGAGACACTCGTACGAACATGATGGACGATGTGTTTTCTGATAGAATACATGGACTTAAGTGAATGTTATAGCTTCTCGAATCGAGAGAAATCGAAAGCACTTTACGTAATTGTAATGGTATCGATTATAATTCGATCCCCTGCGGCACTTATACGTTAATGGGAAAAGCAGATTTCACATTCATTTCATCTGTTCTCTTTTCGTGTTCTCCTAGCTATAACCTCCGAAATACAAATCCGAAAGTGCCTAACAGTCTAGATATCAACAGTTCAAGTGCAAAACCAATCGTTTCCGAAATAGCCCCATACCTTACTTTGTCGATCTCCTCCAATAAAGCCAAGCCCAATTAATCAAAATAGATGAATTAATATACTTTTATATTGTATTATACTCTTTTCACAGATTTTGAAGTTTCATGATTAGTAACTCTCCATAAAATAATAACAAACCAAAATAACAAAATTCTGTTCCCTTTCCCTTCAATAGCCACTTTATATCTAAAGGAAAGGAATGTTAGAGTGCCATAATTGTATTTTTTATATCATTTTACTAAGCAATAATACAAATACTTACAATATCAAACGTCAACAATGTTATGAAAAGAATATGTTCTTTTCTATTTTTCGTATTCGTATAATGTCTTAATGACTCTTTAAAAAGACATGTACGCAATTTTTTTTTGATGTACATGCATTTTTAAAACTTCCTCTTTTACTTATTTTCTTCATGTTTCTCCTCTCCATTTTTCTGACTTCTTATTTTTGCTGCCCAAGCAATCTTATCATATTAACTATATATATTTCAATATTGAAAAATCAATTTTAACTGTATTTTATGTTTGAAATATGAAATGAGTCTTTTAATTGACCAATTCAGCCATTGGGCTGCGATACATGTTTTAATAAACCTTAAATTGAATTGAATAAAAAAGATAAGAACTTATGCAGCGAATCGTTATATACAATTTTATTTTTATTTTTATTTTTTTAAAGAATTTACAAGGTAAGGCATATACAAGGTAACAGAATATGCACATAATATTCGATTGATACAACAGTAATAAAAACAATTTAATGGCAAGTCATTAAATACAAATGATGCTAACAATATATACAATTCAAAACGGGTGAAAGAATCAAAATACTTTAGAAATTTACCTTGGAGGTGATTCGGAAAAACAATGATCGCTAGCTCCTCATATTTTGTAACGCCTTGTTTTAGAAGATTAGCGTTGGTTCAAAAGCAATAGGAGAAAATAGATGAGGTTCATTACATCCCTTTGACCTTTTTAGAGTTGTAACCTTCTTTCCGAAGATGGTTGGAGCCCTCCTGTGGTCATTCTATTACCCAGGCTAATACTAGGGTACTTAATCATCCTTTATATCCACGTCTTCAACGTACAGAGTCAGCAACAAGTTTAAAAACATGTGGATAATTATTGACAATGACGCGAAGAACCAAGCACTCTGTCATTTCGACGGAGAACATAACAAAATGTCTCTCTCGATTTGCCCATGCACTGTCAAGAACGCAGTAGAGTTGTAGGTCGTGGTTCGTTAAATAAGCGAGTGCTTTCAAATGCAATCTTCATTAGCATTGCATAAGCCAGTCATTATCCACATTACTTTTAACAGTTGTATAACATTCAACCCCCATCTCCATTAATTCATCAAAAATAGATTTTCGGAGAAAAGAATCTCCCATAATGCATCCAAGGCGGACCCTATGTCTTGTCAAAGGTCACAATTTTATTTGAGTCTCAAGCTAGACCTCCTCTAGTCCACTGCCTGGGCTTTTTTCCGTGTCGAGCACGTCATCAGCTGAAAACATAACACACCATCAACGCTATTAAAAAACGGAGAGAGTCCCTTCATTTTTTTAGACGGTTTTATTTTCTGGGATTTTAGTGGAGACTTTTCTCCCTTTAAAGGTATAGACCAGTTCTGGAAACGCCCCCTCTCAAAAAAATGAAATGGAAGCTCTTATAACCAATCATGTGAAACAGTATGTTTGGACTAATATGTGATGATACAAATTTTGCCGGGAAACCGCCTACTGAATATTGATATATTTGGTAAATTATCATATTGATCCGGCCTGGATAGATATCTCGAATGCACTTCAACATTGAACATTTTGGCATATATTTCTGCTTTTTGCCTCTAAACCTCTGAAGGCAATATTTAAACAATATTGAATCGATATTTTGCACCCAAAACCCTTGAACCGCAATTTTACCATTACCGGTCGTTACCTTCAAGTGGGACGTAAAGAAGGGAAAATGATGATTAAAGAAGAAAAAAAAAATGTAAAAATGGAATCTGGACCACATTGTGGTTTTCAGTAAATATCAAAGTCGGACAATAGTAATTGAACTGTCAGCAGCTAGTTGAGTGTAAACAAGGAGGTGGGATTAGACTCGTTGGTGTAAACAATAATTGATCACAGAAGTTCCACTATCCATCAATCCTACTTAATTTTTTGTACGCATCCTAATCGATGCCTCTGGCAGGAAGTTATGTTATAGCGCCATCTCAGCTCAGGGTCCGGCAACTCCGTGTCATGCTTTTACTAAAACAAATTATTATTCTCGATTACAAGTACTATTTTAAAAACGTTGACGAAAAAGCGGAGGGAAACGAATTCCGTAAAGACTTTTGAAAAACTGAAGTAACATGAAACCAGACATTGAAGGTGCATCTGAATAATTTATGTTTATCGTTCTTACTTCAACGGATGAAAAAATAATATTGATTGGGGTGGAGGCAGGGGTCCAGGAGTGGGTTGTCTTGTCTCGATCTTTACAAGTCCTCTTCTCCCTTTTATTCTTTTATTTCTGTTTCCCTTTTCGCCATTTTATTGGGGGCAATTGCCCTCGTATCCCGTCACTCGATTCGTGTTATTTTGGCCTGACTGAAGATTTTCTTCTGTTTCCTTTTTGTCAGTGTTAATAAAAATCAAACAATCTATCAGTTTTCCATACAATAGGCTACTGCTAGATAAGTGTTAAAGCCCCTCTAAAGTGTTGGGAGCCACAACAATTTCATGGCAACATTTCACTTAAAATGTGTCATAATGTGAAGAAGAATGTCGTTTAAGACACCTTTCTGCAAGGATTTTCAAACAAATGTGTTTGAAGTCGAATATTGATGCATGAATACAAAATGTAGGTTTTCTCCGTACAACAGAAGACCCAAATAAGATATTCTTTTATCAATATTTGTCTTCGAACACATTTTATTGGGAAGGGGATCTTTGCAGAAGTTTGTCGGATCCTCGTCCACATTATGATATAATTCATTTGAAATATTGCCATCAAATTTGGGGGGCTTCAAACAAGGGGCTTTTATCATCGCCACATATCGCATTTTCAACGAGATCGCGAAGACCTTCAAGATTTCATTCAAATTTTAAATGGCAATGTCTATACGCGCTAGTAGTGAACGCAGACACCCTTTTCGGGCTTATTTGAGTGTATCAGTACAGAAAAAAGTTTCAAAATCACAAGTATTCCAGTCGATCAATTCCCAATTTTGATAAATGTATAAGCCCAACAACGTTTTGATAACTTCACAACTGATTCCGCCAAATTCCTACAATAAAATGTCTGCAATAAATGCATACATACGTGTATATGACGGGTATCATCCTTTGCAAATATCGTCTTTTCAAAATTACTCGTGTTATATTTTCTCATATTTCTTTATGTCTCTCTTCACCACTTTTGATCGCCCATCCTACTCTTCTTCTTCTTCTTCATCTTTTTCTTCTACTTCTTCTCTTCCTCCTCCTTTTTCTCACCCTCCTCATTCTTTAATTATTCTCTCATCTTCTCCTACTCTCTCTTGTTTTTCACACAATCACTCACGAGAGCACAGTACAAGCACATAAGATAGGAATAAAATTACTTGGTGTACAATTTGTGATTTTGTTTTAATAATTTTTATTTTGTCGGGTGTTGTCATCAGTTATAACACAAAATATGTCGGCACAATAATACAGTCAGCACACAGAACCATATAGGGCGTTGGGGGAGATATCTCATAAATGTACAAAAACATTTCAAAGTTATATATCATATATATGATAAATCATTTGTATATTTTGCAATATATCTATCAAAGGGGGTTATGTGGATATATATCAAAAGTAGGGTTTCAGGAAATACCCTTACACTCCAGGCAACAGATGTATGAAATTTGGAATGTAAAAATTATAACTACCATAAAGATATTCAGTTTGGGGGAATTAAACAGTTTCCTAAACAATGAAAAGGTCACATGCTTTGAGCGCTATGTGCTTTTTATAATGTCATTGTTCTAATTTTCCATGTCGATCTATATTAATACTATACCTGTATAAAGGTGCTCCTTAATAAAATGTAGAGCAGTTATTACTTTTGTGCAGTATTATATATGCTTTAGATAAATAGTGATTTTTTAAAACAGATTATGAATAAAATTGTATGGAATGATGAATTCTCTTTACAATAATATAACACAGTCCCCGCTTAGGGTATATAAATATGATTACAGCTCATGGAATTGTCGTTTCTTGATTAAATACATTTTTAGTGTTTTTTTCCTTCTTTTCCTCGAATTATCAAGGATCTATAAAAGTCACTGTGCCTGAAATGGAAACATGAGCCGTTTACATCAGCTCTTTTTGATAATGAAATGCATCAAAAATGTTCCAACCAACAAAATACAAATTTCATTCCATAAGTTATACAAACAATAAATTCATCTCTTCATGTATAATACATAAATGAACAAGTGAATATATACCGACATCATATGTCATGTACAATAAAATACAACATCAACGTGAACTATATTCGTCATCCTTTTTAGTCGCCTCACAAAGGAAAAATTACATAGCAAGGTGCTACACAACACGTACCTACAGCTAGCCCTATAAATAGTCCTGAATAGAAACAAAGTTGGCAAATTCCAAGTATATTTTGTGACTTTTTAGGAAACTTCTTACAGTAAAAAATACCAACGAGTTCATTTACAGATGAAGTGTAGTTTCCTGAATATGAAATGGTGCACATTTTAGAACTACCCCCCCCCCCCTCAAAAAATAATTCAGGTTTTGTTCTCCAAAAATGTGTACGTGGAATCGTTCTATGACCTGTATAGGGCAATACGAGATTCGTAGGGTCAAATAGGTTGCACCCTCTTACATAACTTAATCAGACATCATTATGCATAAACACTTATATACAGCAAAATAGTGTTACAAGATATCTATGGCTAGAACAAGTGTAGGCTACAGAATCCAGTGACAAGAAAGAGGCTCTACAATTTAGGAATCTTAGTGAAGGGAGTGAAAAGTTTTGAGTGAGAAAAAGACATAATTTTGTCCGTACTGGTATTCTTTAGGGTGGTATCAACAACAAGTGTATTCCACATGTATTTAATCAGTCTAACATAGAATACAAATATATATGCCTCTTAGAACACATTTCCAGACAAGCATCTATTACAAAGTTTATTTCAGAAACCTATTTTATAGAGTGTACCTTAATACTTCTTATAAAGTTACAATTATTGATTATAACATGATTGTCCAATCTGTCCAGTTGAAAAAAACTACTCCCCCCTCCCCCTCTTACAAAACAATAACAAAAAAGATTATCTTAAAATGATACATATATTCTTTGGTTTTGATATACGAATTCTAGGACAAGGAAGGGATAGGAGAGAAAATTGAGAGAGTAATTAAACATGTACTCTACAAAATAATTAATACAATTTGATTGGAAAGGGCACAGAAGGATAAAGTGGCAAAAAGGAGCAATACACAATATTGCCAATTTTGCGTATCGTTACATCAGCTGCTGTTTCGAGCAAATAGATACTTTTGAAAACTTAAATACATGGGGTAGGTACGTCACCCTGTCACAAAGGTAGTGATTACTGAGTTTTGGAAACACATACAAAGGGAAAAAGGAAGTATTGCAAGTACCACCAATGAATACATAAATAACTGCAAAAAAATAAAAGACGAAATATGCGGGTAATATATTTCATCATTCTCCATTACATTTCTTTCAATAGATATATATTTTTTTCTATATTCTGTTGGAAGTAAAAGAGATATACAAAAATGACAAGTTATTCGAGAAAGGCAGCCAAAACATTTAAAATAGAACAAAAAAAATTGTATGGTTGACTGATATTGCATTGAGATGGCAATAAATTTCATTTGTTTTTTAAATATCAACATCAGCAAATGTTATTTTGACTTTGGAGCTGTGCTCTCAGTCAACCTTCTGATGACTACGGAGAATTGAGTAAGATTTGTTAAGATGTTTTTATACAACTCTACCTTGTCAAAAATCTTTGTTTTGTTTAAATCTTGAATAAGAGCTCTCCAGACCTATCCCCAACACAGATACAAGTAAAAACATAAAATGCATTCTTACTCCACAAAAACGACATGTCAACGACTGGTATCACAATAACAGAGAAACACGATACAGGTTTTGTACATTATTTACAAGTCTGCTCATCTCTCAACTATTCTACCTGACTTGCTATGAGTTTTAAGTCATTCATTCTACTCTCCTCCTTTACTTTATTTATATTTTCTAATTTTTTTTGAGGCACATGGTACTACCCTTTTTACAGGTCGTCAAAATGCAATTTCCTCCCTTTTCACCAATCCCCATTTAAATTAAATATACACTATGTCTACATAATCTAGTGGCAGTGTAATGTCTAGGAAACTACAAACAGCTAAATCAATTTCTGCTACTTTTTGGTCTCATCTCTTCTCAAACTCATGTTTTGGATGGGGGGGGGAAGAAATCAACGGGACTTCGACAGCCATCCTTTGCATTGCTAATAGTCTAGATTCTTACTGCTGATGCTTAATGTGTGCAGAAAGTGTAAGACAAGCAAAAGCATTGCGAAACAGAAGCACAATGTTGCTTCAACAATCCGTAGAGGAAGTTGTCCGAGGCAACGACCAGAACTACTTTCAGTTTAAAGAGTTTGGGTTCCTCCCATCTCGAGTCTACGCATGTCCTCTAGCCGAGTAACTTTATCAACCCCCAAGAGAGAAAGAGAAAGAGAGAGAGAGAGAGAATGAGAGAGTTAGACCCAAATGACAGTGAGTGTGTAAGTGAGAGGGGGAGGGAAATGAGGGGCTTATGCCTCATTTCCCCCCACGTGGAAGTGGCACCTTCCTGCCAGTGATAGTCCAAAAGGAAGTCGGCCATGAATGACTGTCTGACTCCAGTGGAAAATTACAGGCAGTCGCCAGCCAGCAAGCCGACTGAGCTGCTGAGGGGAGCACCAGTTGTGCCAAGGCACTAATCCAAATCCAGTGTGTCATAGCTCTTAAAGCATGACTTTTCAAAAAATCGGTGTGAAAAATGTGCAAAATAATGCTCCTTCTCTCACACTCACTCCATCGAGAAAGTAACCCTAGAAAATGTGGGAATTGACAGAAAGTGAATATGAGGTGATGAATTTGCTCAGGTTGGCTCACTGGTATTGAAATTCTCCAAGATAACCACGTTCAGCAGATTTCATTTTGGGGGAAATCTGAAGAACATGCTCTCGTGATTACAGCAAAAAAATTAAGTCATAAAGGAGAGTTAGAATCGCGCACATAGGGTGAATGAGTATGCATTATTTTCAGGTCATGCAGCTAAGATAACTGGAGTACCAAAAGTGACACATCCGGCAGCCACCTTGTGCGATTTGTCAATAGGAATAACCCCCGTCTGTCAATGAAACCCCAACATGTGCCTCTCCAAGTTCGGCAACATCGGCTTGAATCACCGTGATCCAACGGAACACTTTCCGCCAGGAGGCTAAGCGGTGAACTCTGGAAAGGTCAATGAGACTTGTCCCCACGCCAAGTTCACAGACAGTGTCATCAGCAGCCAACAGAGGGAGAAAAGGGGAGAGAAAGAGAGAAAGAGAGAGAAAGAGAGAGAGAGAGAGAGAGAGAGAGAGAGAGAGAGAAAGAGAAGAGGATTTTGTTCATGTAACCCCTTAAAAACTTCCACGAGTGATTAGTGGCACCTCTGTCGGCTCCATGAGTTGTCAAGCTAAGGCTAGGGCATGAGCTGGGGTACAGCCAGGGAAAACAAACCACAAACTCTTGATGGCACAGAAATGCGACGCCTATTGCAGAAGCAAATCAAAACATTATCTTCTTTAACGTTTAAAGTGGTCAATGTTTTAACATTATGTAACAAGATTATGTAACATGACTTTGTCTTGCAGAACCAATTTTGTTCCTGATACTTCATGTACAAAGGCTAAGTGATCGAAACTGATACCCCGATTCCCGATGCTCTTGGCGAGTTACCAACATTGTCCTATGTGCTAATCTGTAAAGAGGGTTATCAGCTGTCAAATATGACCATCATGAGTTGGCCTTAACCTATTAAAACTTTCTACTCTGTCAGGATATCCCAAACTCGTTGTACTGCAAGTAAATACTTCTGTCATCTGTTTCCTGTACAGGAGATAACTAGGTGCCTCGCAAATTTGGGTCCAAAGCCTATTTTTTGGTTATTATTCCAATCCAGGTAATTCTTTTTAAAATTTTTGTTTGCTTAACAGCAGCCTCTGTTCCCAAACTTTCTGTCCAGAGCAAGAAGAGTTTTATATCTCTCTTGAAGCGCAGGAGTGCTCTGACTGATGATCTACCAAAACCTTGCATTAATTAAGGAAAATAAAAAAATAGAATAACCCACTTTTCGTATTTTGTAATGTTTAGGAAGAATCTACACATTCTGCACTGTTTTTGATAATTAATGCAAATTCAACTTATTTTAACACTGAAGGTAAAAATTTGGCACAACAAAAAATATATAGCACGTATATGAAGATTTTTTTCCAATTCAAATGATTTGATGGGGAAGAGAGACACTTTGTGCCTTGAAAGTTCAGTCAGTTTAAGGATGGAATCTATGAACCACAAGTAATCATTAATATCCCATTAAACCAACGAGGCCCTTATCTGATAAGACCTTTACTTCCTATAGGACTAGGAGGAGTGGTAGGTGGGAGGCGGCCCCAGCTGCCAATCCGGTATCCGGGAATTCCCCTCGTCCTCGTGGTCTATCAGTTGAGAATACAGAAACTGAAACCAACAAGAGCCACTTCCCACCGGACGCCAGGCTTCCTCCTCTTTCCTGTGCTGGCAGGATGGATATCCTATCCAAAGCCAGCCAAGACTGCTACCGGGCTTCACCCTCAGATTTACAATTTCTTTTAAAGTTTGTTAATGAGATGTCTTTTCTAGAGTTTTTTCACCGAGTCACACTATCACATGCTCCTAATGGTATTTCAATAGGATGTTTCTCTATTTCAAATGCGACTTTTCTAAACCTCTTAGGCAAATAAAAATAAAAAAGTTTTTCAGACCTTTTGTCTGTACATAACTACATGCTACAGGTAACTATATACGTGTACTACTTGTAGGTTTCGATATGGAGAGTGTCATAAGATACTGAATAAATATATGTCAGTGACAAAATAATCAAGGTATTTCCTAGTATTGTACAGTCCTCTCTCTTTTTTGTTTTTTTGTTGTTTGTTGTGGTTATATGGTACAGAAGCGATTATAGAGCAGACCTCATGAAACGATGATGCTTGGTCTGGCGGTGAGCTTGTCGAGCGGATGCACAAGTTCGATTTTGATCCCCCGACCCTTTGTGTACTCTGACACTTTCCTCTCCTCCATGCGCTCGGGCTTGTACCTCGAATCCGTCTCACGGATGACGGATCTCTCCTCCGCCCTTCGCAGGATGTCGTCACACTCGTCGCGCCCCTTCCGCGCCTCGTCGTCCGGGGTCGGGGTGTGGGACGGTGTCTGGACGGGAGTGTTACCGGGCGTCGGCCTCTCGCCCTCCAAATGCCTGATGGCCTGGAAAATGGTCTCCAAGTTCTGCCGCGACGTCGAGGTGGTCGGTGTCATGATGGGGGCAGGTGTGGTGATAGGGGCGGGGGTCGTCATGGTGACGTAGGGGTATTGCATCATCCTCACCCTCTGTTCTTGAAGGCGGATCTGTTGCTGTTGCTGATGCTGTAGCTCAGCCTCCTCTTGTCTTCTCAAGTCGTCTGCATGAGTCACCGGTACAGGCACTACTTCGGGTTTCACCTTTAAAAAAGAGAAAGACAAAAGCAACTCTGTAAAACAATAATACTTCAACTGCACAAGAACATGCATATTACTTTAAAAGAGGATTTCGTCAAGATTATTGGCTAACATTTATCATGAACTTCCTGCCATGACATGTCAATTCCAAGAACATGCTTGATACCCAAAACCACAGAAGGCGGAAATCACAAATCTGTGATGCACTTGCTGCTGCCTGTGGATGTATCATACAAAATTCCTTTCCACAGTTGCTTTAATACTGCAATAGTTTCAATGGAGTACGAAGGATTCTTTAATCGTTGAGGTTTTCAGAACTCAAACTATCTCCTGATTGCAGATGTTGACACAAATCCTGATAAAAATGGCTGAAAAACTGTCTCAAGACTGGATCACACATTTTTTCTTGTAAAATATTTAAAGACCCTAGAAATCAATGCCTTTTATTTTCATTAAATATTAAGAAAATGAATTGCATACACACTTTCTTTGGTGTCTCTGGGTAAACATATCCATACAAAAAATGCTGAAAACAGTCTAAAGATCAGCTTGTATATTCTTCTTGTAAACATATCAAAGAGCCTAAGATTCTTGGTTTTCATTAACCATCAAGAGATTTCATTGCACACTACATTGTTGGAACCTCTTGAGTTTCTTCAAGTAAACATATCATTACAAAAAGAGGCTGAAAACAGTCTAAAGATCAGATTGTATACTCTTCTGGTAAACAGCCCAAGATTCTTGGTTTCATTAACCTTCAAGAGATTTCATTGTACACACCTTCTTTGAGATCTCCTTGAGTTTCTCAGGGTAAAGCTGAGACTCCAGTGATCGATTTCTTTCCTCGACCACCATGCGATAGTGCCTCTCACGGTCAAGCTTGGCCCTCAGGTCCATGATCTCTCGATGGTTGTCTTCCATTACCTGAAATATATCAACGTTAAAGATAAACTTGAGTTCTGGTGAACACAGAAAAAAAAATTCTCACAGAATACAACAAAACTTATGCTGAATGTTCAAGATTATAAATAAGTGACATGTGCCAAAACAATTTTGGTTGAAAATGTTTAGTGGCTGGGTAATGACTAATGAGCACAGAAAGATAAGGAAATCCGGGTAAGTAGGCCGGACACCATGTGCTTAAAACAGGTTTCTATGTGAAATGGGAGTTGTGGTTTTTATCACAGATGATGCCCTGTATGTCCTGTTTCTTTATTCCAATGTTTATTTTGATACCTTACAAAGTCAACATATTTTGAGTACCTGTACTTCACAGACTTTTTTTCGTATAAGTAACTGAAGCAGATTGGTTTACATAAAAAAACGAATGCCATAACAGATAGTATGGTAAAACTTGCACAAATTAAGGGATTCTGGTCTAATGTACAGCAAAGAGAGAGTGGTTGGTGGTAGACTGGTATGATAATATGTAATATGGTTCATTAAGCAAGACCAGGTTTTTGGTGGACATTTATTGACCTGTTAAATTTTGGATACTTGGGTAAGCAAATTGTTCGCAACATGCAGCATTTCCTGGTTGAAACTTAATCATGGTATTTTGCAAAAGATAGTTATTTCCGTGCCATTCTAAAAAGTGGAAACACACACCAAGAGATAATGTTTGATTTAGAATAGAGAGAGAGAGAGAGTGAATGGAATGCAGATGAAAGAGAGAGAGAGAAAGAGAGTTCTCAGTGAATGGAATGCGGATGAGAGAGAGGGAGAGAAAGAGAAAGGACGAGGGGGTAGTGGAGAAATATATAGATTCAGGGAGTGTTTGATTGGTAGGTGTCAAGCAGAGTTCAGATGACTACTTTCTTCGTCTCTATGTTGTGACAGGCCTTCCTGTTTGTTCTTATCAGTTAGGGTTCCCTGCTTGTCGCAGGTGACCTTTCTCTCACACATCTTAAACCTACCAGAATCTGTTCGTTCATTCTTAGTAGGTGGAGGTTCACAAATGGGTCATTCCATGTGGGGTTAGGGTAATCTTTGTGATGTATCGGCCTGTTGCATAGAACTGATTGATGGTAACTTTGCCATCAATGGCAACTACAATGGTAACAGGGCTCAACAGCCAATCAAAAAGTTTTCATGGTAGTTACATGTACCATTCATGGCAAAGTTACCGTTAATGGTAAGTTTTGAGCAACGGGTCCAAGGAGTGAAAAACTATATCTCCCATTAACCCTAACAATGTTTGCTCAAATTGAGGTTAGCATAAAAAGCAAAACCAACTATGTTTAGAAGTAGTCTAGCTTCATGGTTTATCAATATTATAGTCCAGAAATAATGTAATGTTATATACTGTATTATGTCTACAGTGTATGTAACGCTTAAAAAAAAAAGAAACACATAGAAAGCAAAGTTTTTATAGAAATGAAACAGGAATGATTCTGGCAGGGCACTATATGTTTACATTCATTAATTCATTGCATAAGAAACTTCCAAGTTTCAACAGATAATTTCATGTTTCATGTAAGTGAAAATCTCAAGTTCCTTATGATTAATGATCACATTAAAAATTTAGTTTCAAGAAATATGGCTAAAGAGAGAAAAAAAAAAAGTTTTTGAAAACACACCTTCTTTGAGTCGAGAGGCACAGATGCTGTACTCCTGGTGTCGTCAAAGGATTCCGGACTTCCAATCCCTTCATCCATCATGCTGTCATAGCGCTTCCGCTTCTTCGGAGGTATGGGGGACTCCGGCTCGCTGTCGCCGCATCCTCCGCTGTTCTCGTACTTGACCAGAACCCTCTTGAGGTTCAGGACCTGGCTCATGAGATGGGTCTTCTCCTGTTCCATGCGGCAGATGTAGTCGGCTGTCTGCTGCAAGATGGCCGCCTGTTAAGAAGGGTGCGTGCGAATTAAATAAAGCAAAATTGTCCTAGATACAGGTGAATACATGTATACATGTACAAGTTCTTTTGTAGGTTTGAATGCAGTCTGAGCCACAAAATAGTGAGAATTTTAAAAGTCTTAAGTCAATGTATTTGGTGAACTACAGAAACAGAGAACATCCAAGAATGATGTCAAAGACAGTTTTTTCAATATAATTTCCAAATATCTGTCTCAAAATTTAACCTGTATTGCACTATAATTTAAGTGACTTAATGAAAAAGAGCATAAGAAGAGGAAGAGAACATACCTTGCTCAATTTCTCTCCTTCGTTATGCGGAAGAAGAAGCTTGAGTGACTGGAAGCCAGCATTGATGCTCTGCATACGACGCCTCTCATTGCTATTGGCTATCTCTCGTCTTATCCGCTTCTCGGCTTCCTTGGGAGCGCCTGGTGGAGACGGACTAGAAAAAGAACAAAACAGAAAACATCACTTTTATTTTTTTAATTCAGTTGCTTGCACTTTTAATGTTTCTTTGATTCATAAAAAGACATTTTTTATTCTTTGCAAATGTTCACCTTTTATTTTTTTTTAACTTTAACTAATGTACTGTTAGGGCTAACAAATATCTTATTTGGCATTTGCTCAAACAGCAACAATACATGTAATGCAACCAAAATAAATCATAAACATAAGTAAAAGGTATTAAGGAAGATGGCTTGACAATGCCAGTTGTGAAACCCAGTAAATCCCTTTCCTATACTACTGTTTGTCTATGTCAGAGCAGGTAATCCTTATCTGTCTCATCTCTCAGTGTGCATTACATCGAAGCAGAGACATGCCCCTAATCAAAGTATTAAACTGGATGACAGATAATCTATATTCTGCCATTAAGCAGTCACATGTTACATGTACATTTAGGGCAGTATTTTACTAATATAAACAACCTAATGTCAGGACAAGTTTTTGATACAATCTACTTCCTCTTTAACAGAACCCTAATACCAAACAATATACCCTGTATGAATATATTTCGTATTTTCGTCAAAAAGCTGCGCTATATAAATTAATTATTATTATTATTATTATTATATGAAAATAAACGATCAAAACTTAAGACTATCAATATGAACTCAATTCAAAATTATCTGTAGAGCTTTACAATGTACATGAAAGAGTCGACAAGTGGCTTTGATAAAGAAAAATGCCTTCTCATATCCTTCACGAAAATGAAACTAAGGTGCATCCAAGAAATACACTAGCCTAAATACCAAGCATTCTTTTCTTTTTGTCCTCCACATCCCATCGCATCCTCAAAAGGAAAGTTCCTAAAATAGAGATTACCGGCATTCAATGAAAATACAATAAGATTATAAGAAACCATGGATTAGGACTGTCTAGTGTCTACCACACTACAAAAGGGGAGAAAAATAAATGGAGATAATTTGCCAGAAAACCATCTGAACCATACAATAATTTAAGGTTTAGACGGCCAATATAAACATGGTGGTCCAAGCATTAAAAAAAATGATCTAAAACCTCAATAAGTCTAGTGTCTACCACACTACAAAAGGGGAGAAAAATAAATGGAGATAATTTGCCAGAAAACCATCTGAACCATACAATAATTTAAGGTTTAGACGGCCAATATAAACATGGTGGTCCAAGCATTAAAAAAAATGATCTAAAACCTCAATAAGTATTTTCTTTCAAATGCCGCCACGCAAACAAAACTTTCCTACTCCCTGTCTGAATTTGTCATCATTTCCTACACAATGGAGCATATGACATACATGTTTGACACATACTATGTTTTATAATGACTGTTATTACAAATATATTTTTTGTAGGCCCTTCATGTTTACGTATACAAAATAAACAACAAACAACTGAAAAGCTAGGGACGGAAGAAAAATGGGACGTGGAACTGGCTCGGCGGAAAACGCGTGGGTAACAACTGCAACATCAGATATGATTCACAGTGACGTTACAGCAGTCGCTAGGGTCAGGCTAATTAAATACATCCCTTCTACTCGTCATCGATGTGCCACTGGAATGAGTAGGTACGATAAAACATGACAAGGAAGGGGGTTTTAGCGAGGATTCAAACTTTTCACTATCCATGCAGCTAGCTACATGTACATATTCTGAGGCATACTGCCAGGGGCGATTGAAGTGTGCTAGCTATAGTCAGATCCCAATTGACAACTCATTTGTACATATTATACTATATACAAACTCATTTGTCAAATTTGCAAATCTTTACAAACAGTTTATTTGCATTCTGATTCTAAACCAGAAGAGGAAGAAAACAACAACATATTTTCATCCATTTGGAAAATAGTTTAGTCTGACACAGGTACAATGTACATTGACCACAGTTGTTCTTCAATTATTTAATTGAACAACATGTACAAATTAATAACACATACACAGTACTTTACTACTACAATGTAGTACCTGTTGGAACTTAATTAGCCTTAGCCTTGGTATTTAAATGTAACTGCAAATACCATTCATGAATTGATGGGAGAGATTTATGGATTCAGGCTATTATTATTAAAAATTATAAACGTTTTTGATTAAAACATGTGGGAAAACATGTGGGAAAATTAAGTGAACAAAGTGGTACCGATTATATATAAAATTCAAACAAAGATAAATCATACGTGATATTTGACAGAAATCAAACCTACAGTACAACCACATAAATGTACTTTTAACTGACACAGAAATCCCTCCTAGTACTAGCCACATCCCAACCCCCTATGCATACAATGGTAGAATCCCTTGCCCAGGCCTTTTGGCTCGTGGCCAACTTTAGGCAGCTGCCCACAAACTCTCTTCCCACACGTACACACCCACATATACGTATACACACTCCTCCGACTCGCCTGGCACAAGAGTCTAACACATACACACACAATGCATGTACCAGACATGGAACTACATAACATACCAGACAGATCTCTCTCTTTGCATTGCGTCCATATGTACTCAGGTTGAATGAGGAACTAGTAGTATACTCATGTGACTCGAGTGTTAATTGCATGGTATTCTAAAATGCTACACTATAATAAATATGTCTGGCCAATGATTTATTATGAAAGTGCAACCAACACTATGCAGTGCCTTGTTCATTTCTGAGAAAAGACAATAAAGGATGCAATTTTCAGTTATGATATGATTATGAACATAGAAATGGGAAGTGATAATGTCCCAAGCTATATATAGACTCTATATATATTTATAATTAATTGAGTACTGTTATAATAACACCTAAAATCATTAATGAATCATTAGATGAAGACAAAGGAAAGAAGAGAAAAGACTTTGTTTCCTTAATTTTCTAAATTTATTCATGAGATACAAACTTAGGAAGCTAATAATATTTCACATGATTTTGATTGAATTTACTTTTTGAAAACTTTGCAGATTATAAGGTACATGTAACCTCAAAAATAGAACTGGAAATTTTACACTTGGAAAATCATCCCCCCCCCCCCAAAAAAAATAAATAAATAAAATAAAAATCCAATGACGTCTAGCTACATGTATTTCTGTAAATTCTGTTCATCTCAGAGATTGCTGTGTTCCCACTTCTCACCCTTTATCCAACTTATAGTTATAATGTAACTTAAAATGTGGCCATTATTACCACGGCAATATGGCAATTTATTACAAAGCATAAGCAAATTTAAATAAGCAGGTCAAAGTATTCTATCTGGTCCTGAAACAGTGACTATAAATTATCCTCTTGTTAGATTAATTATATATCGGGAGCGCAAAGGGTAAAACACTTCATGTTACCATAGTTTTGTGGTCATTTTTAATCTAACTCTGTAATAACAGAGAAATTGTACCAAATTATTCAAGACTTGCAAAAGTAGAAACAAAGTCAGACCTAACTAAAGTAAAGGCAAAAAGAACCTAAAAACAAACGTTTCGTGATATAGTCTTTAATAATCTTTCAATTGCTACAATGCTAGTAATAATAGTAATATAGATTAGACTAGTAAACTAATAGCTGCTGCCCCACCCACCCAAACAAATTTAAAGTGCAGATTCTAACAAACCAATTTTAAGTGCAAAAACCTAAATCTGACTCATTCGCCTGAAGCTGAACTTAGGAGTTACAATGTACATCAAAAACCCTCCTTTAATTTATAAAAACAATACTAGACCTATGAGGGAGGAACGTACATAACTTTTTTTGTTATCAAGCATTGTGTAACTAAATGTAAACAGAGGTCTAGTCTGGGAATGTGTAAATGTTGTCAGATGACTTGAGCATCAATCAATATCAATGAAGTATCAAACTATTTCTATTAAAAATGGCATTTTTTTTAGCAGATTAACAAGACCTCGTTTGAAATTACTAAATGGAAATGCAGTAGAAATAAGGTGAATGTGAAGGTTAATTTTCATAAAGAAATCTGGAATTTCATGAAAAGCACGTGGCTCCCATACATACAATGGCACATTCCACACCCAGACGCTACCCGATAGATGACGTGACAAGAACAGATAGATACGATCCGAGGAGGTACACACGGATACAAAAACATCATACACACATATTACACACTCAGTGATATGGCGAGGCTCATTTGCATGAAACCCACCCACGCAAAAACTAGCCACCTCTCACACACACACACACAAAACACATTCAGGGAAGGGCGGCCCTAGTTTACGAACCACAACACAACAAACACGTGCCCGGCATTTAAAACTATAAAAAAATCACATAAAATCCATCATTGGGACAGAAGATATAATAATAATGTAAAATCAGAGTCAATATGCTAATCTACAGAAAAGAGCATATCTCGTTCCAAGAATATGATGAAAAACGACCTAAACATGGGTCGACAATGTTATCAATGAATTAAAAATACGCCAGATGTGTGGCTGCCCTGGCCACGCATACTGGATCTCGTTTGTTGACAAGCCGGCGGAATAGTGCAGTCAACGGAAAAAAAATTACGAAAAATGCATCTGCGTCCAAAATATCCATCCTTATTATACCAACAGACTGCCAGAATATGCATCTAACAATGGTTTACCAAAAATTCAATTTTATCACTCAACAAACTTCAGCAAAAACAACAAAACGACTGTTACAAAAATGAAAAAGACCACGTGGCGTCGAGACACAACTCAGCTGGATCTCACAGCTGATCACCTCCAAATTCCAATTAATCAACGCGGCAAAAATATGCCAAACATCGTATTTACCTTATTTTTTACCATTAATTTTGTTCTATACTTGTACCGACTTGAAATGAGAAAGTAATGAGCATAAAAAAGATGTCGTAAATGCTTTAAAAAATGAACCATTCAGTTCACAAAGCCTGACTCAGCACCTCGGCAATTCGCCGGCAAAAATATAAAAGTTAAAACGCAATGAAAAATCACTCACCTTCCACTCGGACTTATCATATCGCTGGGAACTCGCAAGGATCCGCCAATTGTATCTTTCTCCGATTTCAATGCATAGAATGCCATGTCGCAGGAGCGTAACTCTTCGATATGAAAGAAAATTGCAAAATGATGTTTTTTCTTTCAGAATTTTCACAACAAACGCTGCGTGGTCAAAAAGTGTACAACGTGAATGTGTGGTATTGTGGCGGGAAACAGCTGGTCACAGAGTCAGCTGCGAGTATGTCAACCTTATAGTAAAAATTCATCCGCAAACCAAAACAAATACGTTAAAACACGTTACGATTAATATAATGCCCAGTTTTTACTATCAGTATTTTTTATTGCCAGTTTTCTTGTGAATAATATTTGTAATTACTTTAGATAACGTTCTAATTAAATGTTATAAGAATAAACATTGCTCTATGTTATCTGCCCACGAATATTTGATAGTATTGCTGCTATCCGTACGGTAATCAGCTGACAGTTGGCATGGCGCGAGCGTTTTGTAAATGTGTCAACAGCTGCGTGAAATTCTTTACCGTAACTAGACAAGAACGTACATCACTAGAAGTATACAAATAATCCAGAAACTATTCATTTGCTCATAAATTTCAGAACCGAATAAGAAATGTACTTATATGAAATGTTTTTATCACTTTCGTTATTTATTTGCTGTAAAATATACGAGTAGCTTGGATTAAACGACAATATTTATATCAGGAAATGTGCAATTCTCCTAACCCTTGGTAGGCGGGGTTTACGTCAATGGTATGCATCCATAGCCAATCGCGCTTCGAGAAACCGATCTCGTGTCAATCATTGATATATTTAGCTCTTGCGCCATTGACGGTCTTTCCTGAGAAGTTTTGATTGGTCAGTGAGTTGGGCGGGTATCCTTGTCCGCTTCAAGTCGTGTGTAAATTTACTACAAACTAGTAGTAGTAACATCTTCTTTTTCATTTTTTTCTTTCTTTTTTCTTGTTCTTCTTCTTCCTTTGAAAAAAAAACGAACATTGTCGAGGGTGGGGGATGCGTGTCGGGGAGGAAAAAACAAAACTACATTGAACAAACGTGTTCACCGGAAGATGTTTGGCATAAATAACAAAAATGACAATAACAAAAACAACTTTGCAATAACAACACAATAAGCATGACATTTGATTTTCTCGAAAGCTGGACATCGAGGGAAAAACCCTCATTTGTTTACAGTACCCTTTTCCTCCTTCTTCCTAGTCTTCCTACTCTTTCTTCTCTTCCTTCTACCTTACACTACTACTACTACTACTACTACTACTACTACTACTACTACTACTACTACTACTGCTGCTGCTGCTGCTGCTGCTGCTGCTGCTGCTACTACAGCTACCTTTACTACTACAATTTTTACTAATCATAATTAGATAGGCAGCTACTTAGACAAGACACCGGACAAGCCATAATTATATATATATACAAAAAGGAACGGGCAATAATTTGTTGTTTCTTCAGGGAAGGACACTGTCTCCATTATTGAGGGTCATTTTTAAACTTGGGAAGTGAACTTCAATTTTTTATCGCATAGGAGGAGTGTTTTTATTCAGTGAGGGGGGGGGGATGGAGAAGGCAGTCCCCTTCATCAGCCTCTTCAAGTTGTCACCATACTTACGACTGGTATGATCTCTTTCTCCAATTGGGCTAGAGTATAAGTTTTGCGAGCTATAGGAGTTGTTATTAATTTTAAGTTGCAATTAATTAAAATCAATCGCAGCTCTTTATAAGACGGGGCCCACAAGCCTCATCTATTTTCTCTTTCATTTAATTTTAAGGGGGAAAAAAAGAAAAAGAAAAAAAAGAGAGAAGCTTATATTTAATTTTTATTTTTGATACTCTTATTTAAAAAAAAGAGAAAGAAAGAAATTAATATTAAAAAGAAAGGCGTTGGTGATAATAGTCAGGTCTTGACTGACAACAAAAAACAACAACAACATAATATTTCATTTCATAAATGTAGATCAAAATCAATTACCAGAAGTTTAAAAATTGTTTTATAATATAATATCGATTCATATTTATTAGGAGCGCCAACAAATAAAAAATATCACAACCCTTACAAAATCACGGAATGTAGTGAAACTTGAAATACAAAGACTTACACAATTGGTAAATCACAGTACTAAATTAAAGGGAAGAAGTAGCGGGTGTTTTGAAATTGGCAAGGCAGGTTAATTCTCTGATGACAGATTTTCTTCAAAATAAATGTCGGTATATTCAATGAGGCCTATATACTGTGTTGGATTCCGGTTACTGAACCGATGAATCATTCATGATAGTTTGAAAACTTGAAGGAAAACAAATTGTATGGAAACCTTATCAACTAATGAATGTATATAACGATCAAACTTTGGGGTTATATATTCTTCTCTCATTATAATGATCACCATTGGCAATGTTGAGAACTTATCTATTCGTTTATTCATTTATTTCTTCATTCCGTTTTTTTTAATGTCTTTTACGTTACGGTGATTTACCCCTCTCACTTTCTTCTTCGGTATCGCAGCTGAGAGAGATCGTTTTCATTCTCACTAGATATATACCGCCCAAATGAATGATTATATCATCGTTTCCTTCACCCGTTCGTAATCCAATAAAGAAATTATGTGATTCCGGAAGCAAACACGTCATTTTACGTTCGCTCGCTCGCTCGCGCGCGCGGTTCGAAATTAATTATTCATGAGCGATCGAGGGCTCTCGCATTGCAACCCCCGCATTATATACGGCTCTGTACATTGCATTGGGCGTCTGAAATGTCAAATCGTGCATATTATTAAGTCTGTCTACTCATAATGAGCCCTGTCGCATAGCAACTAGATGGGTGCAAATGAAGAATCGTGTTGTTTGTGAATCTGCCGCTCAGAAATCTAGGGAGAGTTCATCAGGATGTGATAGATGTTCTATTCCCATGTAATAAGTAGTCCGGGTATATATCCACCCCTCTCGGCGAATGAGAGTAGGGCCTACCCCAAAAGAAATCATATTTACAAGTATTACAAATTATACAGTGTTATTATTCATATTATGTTCTATACAATGGCATTTTTCACTCTTTCTTTTTTTGTGTCTCAGAACATTGCACCATTGAAGTTCCATGCGGGGGGGGGGGGGGTCAGATTTTATTTTTATCATGTATTATGACTTAAAAACAATTAGTAGGCTATACATGCAATGAAAACAGTTTCAATATGGGTAGGATCGATTTTATGTCAATTTTTTTTCTCTCCAACTCAACTCTCTTTTTTTTCTTGTTTTTTTCCGTAAACAATTATTTAATATTTCCCTTTCAATCTCTTCGCCTTCCCTCTCCTTCTTTCATCCACCCCTATTTTCTCTTTCTCTCTCTCGCTCTCTCTCTCTATCTCTCATCCGTGGTCTACACCTCTGTACGTATTAAATGCATGCAAAAGAAGAATAATCCAACATGATAGCAGTCGAATTGTGTGAACAAAAACTTTTAAAAGGGGAATGCAAAAGTCGAGGTTTTAACGAAGAAAGATGAAATTTGTATCCATATCCTGGCTTTCAAAATGACTAAACAGAAATAAGAAAGAAATAACATACAGACACACCCACCCACACACCTATGCATATTATCGGGTTTGTTTTGTTCTGTCTTCAAACTTTTTGCACACGGCACGATATTGATAATGTTCGGGTTTTCCCAGGTATAAAAATAGAATAGAGGGCGTCCCGCTCGTGAGCAAAGGGGATGTGACAATGCCTTTTTTTCGAATATTATCATACTCCAAGCCAATCATGTCTTACATTTTCTTTAGAACTTCTTACAACTAATCCTCAAGAAATATTGATGTTTTAATAAAAGCGATGCCGAGTATTATAGACCTTGATAATCATCGTCATGGTTATCATTTAGACTATTATAGACTTTATTATCATCATTATATTATTATTGTTTTCATTATCATTATTATTAGTATTAGTATTACCATTAATATCACTATCATTACTATTAGATTAATATAAGAATATCAACCGTCATACCAACGACATCATAGTTTTCATCAACTTCATCATCAGTAGGTCATCAGCATGATTATGAAAATGATATAACTTAATTTAATTGTGATAATTGTGAATTCCACGATTCGATTGCATATCTTTTGGGGTTCTCTTTAAGTTTTGTCACACTTGAATTTCATACAATTCTTCAAGAGAGTGTAATCATATTTCTGGACGTTTCCTCTCATTAAGCTTTGTCTACAAGCAACAACAGACTAACGCTTTTACCTTTATTGAGGAACTGCCACAATGCATATGTTGCTATGTCTGGTAACCTCTGGGGTGGTAGAATTGTCGTAAAAGTATGCAGGCGTATATGGGTACATTTTTTATACCGACTCAAGTTACTTTTGTGCAAAACTATTCGAGTATCATCTGCATCACAATCTAATTCGTCCATCGAAAGTATTATAGTTATAGGCGTCTTAATGTCTCGGGAGTTCTCTGGGACTTTCCCTGATGTTGTGCTCGAATTTACTGGCATGTCTTCAATTATTTTTATGAGCTTCCAGAACATTCTCGATCCGTGTAAAATGTGTTTCGATGGTTAAGGCTAAGCAATTAATACATAATGAAAAGAGAGCATGCATGATTTAAAATATGGAAATTAAGACGGTGGAGGGGGAGGGGGAGGAGAAAGAAAACGAAAAGAGGAAATATGGCATTGAAAGCTGACAAGACAACAATGTAAAAAAAATGCCTCAGCATAAAATTTACAATAGAAAAAGAAGACGGGATGAAGATGAAGAAAAAGGAGGATGAATAGCAAAAATAAGAAAAATGAGAAGAAAAGCGGTGCATGGAGGAAAGAAAAAAAAGGAATATATTGATTATAATAATATGAATATTTATACTACTACTACTACTACTACTAAAAAAAATAATAATAAACTTGTACTACAACAACAACAACAACAAACTACTACTAGTTCTACTCACTACTACTTCTACTACTACTTTTACTACTACCACTGATACTACTACTACTACTATACTGCTACTACTAGTACTATACTATTGAAAATAATTATAATATCAATACTGTCTTAGGTCACACATTATTATTACATTACTTATCACTGGCATGCATAATAATAGTTTAGCCCATTTGGGCGC